ACCCCCAAAATATCAAACTCTGGCCTTCCTACCCAGATTTCAACCCCAAAAACTTGAATTCTAACCTCGTTTTTTTGCGCCTTCTCTTTGCAATCTGACTTTGGTGCAGCCTTCCCAAGGCTCTGGGAAGCAGCCTGCTTTGTAGGAAGAAAGGCAAGGGGGCAGCCAACAAAACGCTCCTTTCCAAGACTCATCCTGAAGGTGGAAACCACCTTTATATGCCCAAAATCCCCCAAAACAGAACCCAAACCCTCCCGAAAGCACACCTCCCCCCCTTGATAACAGCTTGCTCCCTACAGGCGGATGATGGAAAAAGTGCAGAAACCCAATTTTAAAGCTTTTCATAGAACTCTGGGAGAACTCAGGGCGACGCTGACATCTCCTGTTGCCAAAACGGTGCCAAATAGCCCCAAAAAGACACTCACCGGCAGGCAGCAGAACAAGATCCTTGCAGATTTTTAAGGGCTGTGTGAGCTCAGACGGATCACATGTGGGACAGGGGGAAATATCAGCCCTATTTAAGGAAACACAGAATGTGCTGCCTGGAATCTCCCTGCAGATCCGTGTCTCCATTGTAGAATTTGGCCGGATGAAGCTTTGGGCTTAAAATGCTCCGTCATTGTTGGCCGTAGGAGAAGATATCCTCCGTTTCCAGGACAGATGGGGGCATTTGCAGCACAGGGCTCGCTTACTTCGGTCACCACAGCACAACATTCACCAAACTGCTTTAATTAAACAGCTGGGCGGCTTCTGAACTCATTTTTCACCTTTTTTTTTGCCCTTAGCACAGGAACTCCTAATTGCAATTTTGAGTTGCACGCAAACCAACCACCAGCGTTACCCGACCTCTGTGCCATTTGCCATGCTGACTGTCAATTAAAATATATATATATATTTTAATTAACCATTACTTTTGCCCTTTGACAGAGGGAGGGATGGTATTCTGAGCTGCTCCTTTAGCTGCTCCAACCTGAAGGCTGTCAGACAGATTACAGTACGTCCTTCCCCTCCCCTTTCCCCTGCTTGGATCCTCTCCTGCCTCCCATATCCCATCCCTAATTACTGCAATAATGAAGGTTTCCGACCCAACGAGCTGCAGAGAGAGAAATTAAACCCGCAGGGCTGAGAGCTCTGAGCATTACCCGCAGGTGGGAGATGTTCACAAAATGGGATCCATCTCAAATTTTCCCCTTTTCAGCAATAGGTGGAGCAGACGCTGCCAAGGAAAGTCTGTGAGCTGCAGAGGGGCTGGAGAGCCCCGCGTGGAACCAGCTGGAGAAAGAAACAAATGCTCCAGAGAGTCTCGAGTGGTTTATTGTGAGCTGGGAACCACCAGCTGCCCATCCCACAGTGGGGCAAAAGCCAAGATTTAATTATTATTATCAATTTTTTTTTAACCAGGTGGCCAAGAACACGAGAAATCCTACGAAAGTGCAGCGAAAGGTGAAAACCAAAGTTCCCCAAATCTTGGGGTGGCTTCAGTGATGTCTGTAATTGCCTACCTCCCATTTCAGCTGGGCCCACAATGGTCTCAAGCACAGGTTTGACTCCTCCATGGGTTTAGGGCTCCCAGTTTAGGCTCCCTAGCCTTGCTAGAAGCAGAGCTGCAGGGTGTAAGCCACCCCAAACCTTAAAACCACGTGGCGTTATGGGTTTTCACCCCAGAGCTTCGTGCCAGCTTGCTCTTGGATGAAGGGTGATCCATTCTCCTGTAGGACTCACGCATTCCCCAAAGTCTCCTGGACTCTGGTTGGAATCAGATCATCTTCCCAAGCCAAATCTCAGCCCCATTTCATCTCTTCTGAGCACAGATTTCTCCTTCAACAGCTGATGGAGGGAGACGGCCACACGGATGGCAGGGTGCATGTGTTGTATATTTTGCTTTTTGCACTGAGAGGAGACAAGCTGCCCACCAGCAGAGCTTCTCCGCAGAAATTTACACCAGCTGCTGAGACAAAACACCAGCGGTGATGTAGGCAGCGACTTACCCTGGTGCCCACCTCTCTCCATCAGGCCAAAGAGGCCCCCATCCTCTCTGTGGGTCATTTAACAGCCCTAGAGGTTGGAATTGCAATCAGGAGGCTTTGGATCCAGGGTAGGGGCTGCTCATAGAGTCTCCATACGTCAATGGGGGTCACCATACGTCAATGGGGGGTCACCTCATGTCAACAGGGTACCCCCATATATCAATGGGGGCCACCATATGTCAATGGGGGGCACCAGACATCAACAGGAGCCACCCTATGTCAATGGGGGGCCGGCAGATACCAACTGGAGCCACCCCATACATCAATGGGAGCCACCTCAAGTCAACAGGGGCCACCATACGTCAATGGGAGCCACTTAATGTCAATGGGGGCCACCTCACCTCGATGGGGGGACACCGGACACCAACAGAAGCCACCCCATATATCAATGGGGGCTACCTCTCATCAATGGGGGGCCACCATACATCAGTGAGGGCCACCTCATGTCAATGGAGGCTACCTTACATCAACTGGGGCCACCTCATGTCAATAGGGGGTACCAGACATCAACAGGAGCCACCCCATATGTCAATGGGGGCCACCTCATGTCAATAGGGGGCACCAGACACCAACAGGAGCCACCCCTACATCAATGGGGGCCACCAGACATGACACACGGAGGACGTTGATGATGTTGAGGATGAATTTCCTTTCCTTTGCATGACGACGGTTGGTTGGGAAGGGGGAGAATGAGGTTTTGATGCTGCTTTTTCCTGAGAGTTTTTCCACCCTGGTCTCGAAGAGCTGCTGTAAGGCACCTCCAGGGATTCTGGGGTTATCGGGGCAGCGAGAGGGAGCCCAGCTCCAGCCAGAACCACGGCCGGAGCCGCTCCCCACCGAAGGAGGTCAGAGGAAAAGTGAAGATGGGGATTTGGTTCTCGGCATCAAAAAACGCCACCTCACCCCATTCGTAGTCCAGAGAGATGCGGATCTTTTTGGGAACCCTTGGCAGGTTCAGTGGGGTCGGAGGGGAGGTGAGGGCTCTGTTCTTGTACCCCCATTGCTGCACAGCCCAGATCCCTTCGTCAGGGTTAAAGCTGATGGCTCCTTTCCTCGGAAGGGACTCCCTGCTGACCCCGACGGCGCAGTACTGCCCTTCTGTGAGATCCACCACCCAGCAGTGCCTCCCAGAGCTGAAGGTTTCACAGCCCAGCACGCAGGGATCGGCGTCGAAGCGCTCGGGGCCGTCGGGGGATTCCTGCAGGCTGTATTCCCATCGGACGCTCTTCTGGTCCTCGGAGAGGATGAGGCGAGGGTGGGCCGTCTCTGGGTCCAGAGTCACGTTTACTATGGAAAAGAAAGAATTAAATCTATTTGACTCAACTCTGCTTGAGTTCTAATAGGGTGGCTCGGTCTTTGCGGAGCTCAAGGCTCAACAGCTTGATGTTCTACTTCCCTGGGGGTTCTACTTCTACTGGGGGTTGGATCGATGATCTCTGGAGGTCCCTTCCAACCCCTACAATTCTGTCATTCCCCTACGCATAAATGGGGTCTGCAATACCTCCACAGAGGCCCATTATATCCCACCTACATGTCTAATCTGGATATTTCTACAGTGCAGACATTTAAAGGACACGAGCTCCTGGATGGGGTCTGCAAGCAGAAACCCAATGAACCAAATGACTTACCCAACTTTTCTTCGCTTCTTCCTAAAAATGCGTAATAAGAAGATGGGTGATTAACAGTGACACAAACTTAAAATGAAAAGTGATGCTGAAAGAAGGGAGAAAAGGGCACTCACTGTGTTCCTCAAAACATTTCCCTGAAAAGAAAAAAGAAATTAATTAGCTTTTTTCTTTTTCCTGATTCGCTGAGGAAGGCTGGGAATTCATGACCCGTTTTTTGAGCACTTGTGGGCTGTTTCTGTGATGCTGAAGTCCATCTTTTAACTGACACGGGGGCTAAATGAAAACATGAACCATTCTTTAAGCTGTAAGGTTAAGCCTGATGGACGTCGCGCTTGATGGAGGCGTGAAAAAATTCAGTGTTCCTTTCCTGGGAAAGTTGTAATTAATCCCATCACATAATTGGGTACTGGAGATGATTTATTCTGAAATGTCTCCAATTTCAGACCGGTTTGGATGCAGGTTATCAAACTGTGCCTTCTCATCTCGTGCTGCTCTATGTGTAAATCTCCACAGCTGTCCCAAAAGCCCCCAAAATCTCTCACGCGCCGGAGACGAGGAAGGAGAAACTCACTTGCTTTTGCTCTGTAGTGCTCTGAAAAGAGGAACAACAGAGATGGCTGTTATCCTCTTACATTGTGACTTCCCATGATTTGGTCTCAAAGCAAACCCGTATTTCTGTGCTTTGTGACTGTTTGCTTTATGGCAACTCGTCATGAATTATAGTAACAACATAAACACGTGTATTATACATGAAAACACAAATAAAAACAGCGTTATCACTGGGTGTGAGTTATAACCGTGACTCACCCAGCTCTGCAGTGAGTTCATCTGGAAACATGGGGGAAAAACACAGGATTTCCATTAAGTTTGGCACCAACGCGGCGGTAGGGATCTTCCCAACGCACCAAAGTCCATTTCTGGGGGAGGAGTTTGACACTCACCAATTCTTCTCTCTTGTTTTTCTGAAGAAAAGGAGGAGAAAAGGAAACCAGAGCTGTTGTGACACATAGGTTGTACATCCACCTATGATGTATATCCAAAAACTGACTGCAACCTGCGTGCACTGGTTTTGCTGGAGGGCAGAACAACACTCACCAACTTCTGCGGAGAGTTCACCTTGAAAGGGAATAAAAGCAGTGAGTTTCATTCCTTCTTACAATTAAAGTGAAAGTCACGATTTCACACGTGGGATCCCTGAATTCTGACATTCCATCACTGGGGGTTTTTTCCATGGTTAACCTGAAAATGGGACCTAAAGCAAATGGAGACTAAAAATGCAGACTATTCCCTTGTATTCTGTGGATGTATCGTTGGTGGTTACACCACTTCTAATGGAATATTATGGATTTTGGGTATTCTTAGGTACCCAAGGGTCCAAGCCCATAGGAGAACACGAGATGGGACCTGACGCTGTGTTTGGGCGCCTGAATCCTCCCCCAAATTCTATCACAAACCAAATCCTCAACCCCATCAATCCCAAACGGCACCACCAGGCTTCTTGAAGGCACCACAAGCACAGGAGGAGGTGGACACGCACCGATTTTGGCATCGTGTTCTTCTAAAAAAAGGGAAAAAGAGAGAAAAAAAAGGAAAAGTCTGTATTTCTGCGTACAGAAGATGAAGAAGGGATAATAACTGAGTATCAGAACAAGGGCTGCTGCAGAATTCCCATCCCATCAGCATGCTTAGGGGGGATTCCTTCAGCCAACAGGTTCTCCAGCAATAGAAAGGCAACGATGCTCACCCCTCTCTGGATCGCTCTCCTCTAGGAACATGAAGGGAGAAAAAAAGAGATCAGAATCCAAACCACCCCTTATTTTTTGGGGGGGCAGAAGAGGGGGAGGAATCTCACTTACCAACTTCCCGGCCCCTTAATTCCTCTGAAGAGAAGAGAAAAAGCAAAATGTGAATCACCTTTAGTGCCATAGATTACTGCACCAACTCATCGCCATCCCGCCCCTGTTTTCCCTGCTATTCATCCCAAAGATCCTCTTTGCCCCATCCCTTCTGCAGTTCTCTCTTTGAACACCACGAGACAAAGCAGGGAAACACACACAAAATACCCAGCATCAGTTTTGTGGAAGAAATGGAAGCAACTCACCGAGCTCTTCCGACAGTTTCCCTTAAAAAGGAGAAAACAGAATTGGGTGCCATCCCAAGGATGCTCAATGGGCCACGATGGGGGAATTTGGGGACACCAAACCCTCTGAGATGGGCTGAAACCTTCACAATTCTGCATTTTTAAAATACTTCCATTCCATTTCCCCATTTCCCCCCCTCAAATCATTAATTTCCTCCTTTCCCCCCCCCACAAACAATTCCATCCCCTTTCCCCTTTTGCCCCCAGATAATTCCATTCCATTTCCCCTTTCCCAAATTCCATTTTTTTAAGAATAACTCCATTCTATTTCACTTCTTCCCCCAATATTTCCATTCTATTCCACCTTCTCCTTCCAAACAATTCCATTTATTCCCATTTTTCTCCATCCTGCTCCTCTTTCTGTTGCAGTAACTCCATTTCCAACAACACAAAGCCCCAACAGGGGCAGCAATCGCAAACATCCCCAGCAACTGCATTTCTTAGCAAACCCAATTGCCACTTACTAATGAGGACGTCCTGCTCTCCTAAAAATTAAACAGAAAAACAAAGAAAAATGAATAAATTTCATTTCCTCCCATTTTGCCTATTCCTTCCCAACGCGCCCGGCGGAAAAGAGTCACCCGGTTTTGCACATAAGCAAGGAGATAAATAAATAAGGGCATTTCTCCTTCTTTTCTCGTCTCCTGTGGTCTCAAAGAGGAGATTTTTGGGGCAGACTCTGGGATTCTGCCTTCCCCATTGGGGGGAATCACAGCTGTGGGGCAAAGAAAGGGACTTACGGGCATCGGAATCGCGGTCCTCTGCAAACAGAAGGGAAAAGGAAGCGTTCATTTCCAGGGAAAATAATAATTACTCATTTTCCAAAGCACTGATTTCATTAATGTTGTGTTTTATCCCCTCCTTCCCCCCCCCAAAAAAAAATGTTTTGTTTTGTTGCTGGATTTACTGATGGAAATTGATGCACTTACCAAGCAGCTCAGTGAGGCGCCCTTAAAGCAAAACAGGGAGAAAAAGGGGGGAAAGAAAAAAGGAAGGAAAAGGAAAAGGAAACAAAAAGAAAAAGTAATTAAAAATATATATTAGTTCAAAGCAGTGCTTTTTAACACCGGTGATACAGAAATAAGGACTGAGACACCAATGCTGTTGGGCTGAACCCAAAACAAAGTGTTGACCATCACCATTCAGGTTCCCACGTGGAACCCAACCCATTTCATGACCCAAAAAACTCAATTTTTTATGATTTTTTTTTTTCCCCCTTTTCATTCCCTTTTCAGCAAGGAAGTGGAACTGTTTCCTTCCAGCCCCAAATTGCTGTCTTTTTTCTAAGGGAAATTCTCTATTCAGTACATAGGATTTCAAGCACTCCGCATTTGGGTTAAGCCAAAAAACCCTCAAATCAT